AGTAGTTATCATTGTTACCCATCATCACATGGAAAAAAAGAACTCCAAGGATCTCGCTTTGGTGGTTCAGGCTGTAACCTGGCTGCACCATTTCGCTGCATCTGTTTGACTCTGAGCTGTTTCCCAGGCTTTGAAAGCTGAGCATCCTCATTCCAGAAGAATTCCCTTTGTCATAGTTAGGGCATCCTTCTTGGAAGTTTGGTTCCCACCTGTTGACCTCTTGGCCTGGCAGAGGTGGCATCTCAGCAAGCTAGCTGACACAAAGACTGAAGGAGAATTCGGTCTCCTAACATGAAAATGACCTAGTTTCCCTCGGAAGTCATTTGTCATAGCAAGAACCAGAAGGTTCTAAACAGTGACAAAGACCGGTGATTAATGCCAGCCGGAGATGCTAAGTCGACCTTCCTCAGCATTAGACCTGTGCCCTGGAGAAGGCCATACACAGAGGAAGGGATGAGTCATGGGCAGAAAATGAAAGCTTCTGTTCACACAGAAACCTGCCCTCAAGTTGATAGCAGCTACATCTGAGTGGGAAGCTGGCTGCAGTCACCCTGTGCTGGCTGGTCTTATGCCAGCTTGACACAGTTAGGGTCAGCTGGAAGGAGGGAGCCTCCACTGAGAAGACGCCTCTGTATAAGCACTGTCTGTAAGGCGCTTTCTTAATTAGTGATTGATGGAGAGGGTCCAGTCCATTGTGGGTGGTTCTGATCTAAGGAAGCAGGCAGAGCAAGCCATGGGGAGCAGGCCGGTGAGCAGCACTCCTCCGTGGCCTTCTCATCATCTCCTGCCTCCAGGATCCTGCCCTGTGTGAGTTCTTGTCCTGACTTCCTTAGATGGTGACCTGTGATGTGGTAGTGTAAGCTGAAGAAGCCCTTTCCTCCCTACTTGAGTCTGGTTATGGTGTTTCGTTGCAGCAATAGTAATCCTAGCTAAGACACCCCCAGTCATTCCGTGGGTGAGTGATCAAATATGCTGTGGTGTCCGCCAGTGGGAAGGAGTAGCCGGTGGCCACAGCACCCTGGGTGACTCTCTAGATGATGCTGTGCGGGAGAAATCCAGTTCCCTAAAGCTGCACAATCCATGATTCCATTTCTGTAGGGGGACATGCAGAGCAGGCGGTTGTTGCTAGGCTGTGGAGAGGGGACAGAGGCAAGGATAGGGATGGGTCTGGCCCAAAAGGGGGCCACAGTGGCAGTCCTGTAAGGGAAGGGCCTTGTGCCCTGGCTGTATCAGTGTCTGCATCTCCAAGGTAACCCCGAGTTCCACTTTCATGAGTTTCCCTGTGGAGGGAAGCTGGAGTCTGTTTGGATTATTTCTTACAAGTTCAAACAGCTATTTCAACACAGCTTTATTTTTTAAAGTATAGAACCCGGCTTCTTCAGAGTCTTCTGTGGCATTTCAGCATCGCTAGCCATTGCACAAATGCAAACCAAACCGACAGGGAGACATGATTATGCTTTCAGAGTGGCCAAGGCGGGCGGAAATCCTCAGGGTGGTGGAGAAGATACGTGGCCCCACCCTCCCCGCCTGCCCTCTGCTCACCTGCTCCATGTAGTTCCAGGCCCTGTGGTCTCCATTTCTAGCCCAGCTCTCCATGTTTTGAGTCTGGTACCACCAGAAGAGATGCGGACCAGGGTGGAACTGTTAAGGAACGCCTCCCTATTCAAGAAGGCGTCTTGGAGGGAGGGTGGTGTTGGGGTACAGACTTTATTTTCCCCCCTCTGCTGGGGGTAAGGAACCAGGGACAATTAGGGAACCTTGCTATTTCAATAGAGGCCCCACAGGGAGCCTGCCAGGAACGGGGTCTGCGATGTGGCTCAGCCTAGGGCAGGCACTCATGGCGCAGCTGCTCAAAGCCTCAGCCGCATGCCCAGGTGGCAGAGACGGCGGGTGGGAGGGCGGGCTTAAGGGTAACTTGGCTACAGCCTTCAGCCTCTCTCCTTCTCTCCCTGCCTTGTGGTTTTGAGTGTAAAGGGAGCACGGAGAGTTGGGTAGATAGACAAGAAGCCCTAAAGGAAAAGGACTCGGTGATCCTGCCCCTGAACTCAGCTTGGTTCTCTGCTCTGTCCTTCTGCAGTTTCTCAAAGGCACCACTGTTGGAAGGGACTGGACATCCCCAGTCCTTTTCTACTAGCACTTGGGCGCTGTCCTTGGTGCTGTGTGTGTGTGTGTGTGTGTGTGTGTGTGTGTGTGTGTGTGTGTGTGATTGCACACGCGGCTTGAGGGGCGGTGGATGTAAGGTGCCTGATCCCCTCGCCTCCCTCCATATGATGAGTCCCCTCTATCCACATCCAAATCACCCTCAAAAGCCTGCTTTAGTGGCCCACAAGTATCTATATTTGGCCTAAGAGGTGAATTTAGGGTCTTGCTTCCTGAACATTTGTGTCATGAATGTGAAACCTGACATAAATTAGCATCTCTCCTATGTCCAGCAGCCTGGCTTCCTCCCTTCCTTGGGAATTGCCCATCTAGTCTACCTGTTCTAGAGACAGATAGGAAAACTGGGTCCATGGGGCCGGAGAGGCTTGGTTGGAGTCTGACTTTTCTACTATCCTGTAACCAACCGTACTGCCAGCTGAAGGTGTCACTAGCCCAAAGTTGGCAGTTTGGGTACCAGACTTGTCAGCTCATGACTCTTGGAGATGTGCCACTGCAAATCATCCTTTCCATTCTGCAACCCCTGTACGGGGCGGGGACTGCAGCCTCAGGCCCCTGTGTCCACCCAGAACTTAAATCTATGTTGATGCACTTGTGTGGGCCATCCAGGATGCAGGGGACAGGCCTCTCAGCCCTGGGAACTATGAACCTGAGAAGTGGGGAAATGCACTGTGGAAGCTGCGGGGTCACATTCTGTATCAAGAACAGCGTGGCATGAGACCAGGAGCCTGTGGACTGTTGTTGTGTACGTATGTCTTAAGGTTACTATTGTAATGAAACACCATGACTCAAACAGCTTGGGGAGGAAAGGGTTTATGTGGTTTACCTTCCACAGCAATGTCCATCACTGGAGGAAGTCAGGGTAGGAACTCAAATGGCAGGAACTCAGAGGCAGAAGCTGATGCAGAGAGCATGGAGGGGTGCTGCTTACTGGCTTGCTCCCTATGGCTTGCTCAATCTGCAGTCTTATAGAACCCAGGACCACCAGCCCAGGGATGACACTGCCCACAATGGGCTGGACCCTCCCCATCAATCACTAATTAAGAAAATGCCCTGCAGGCTGCCTACAGCCGGATCTTACGGAAGCATTTTTCAATTGAGGATCCCTCCCCTGATGACTCTAGCTTGTGTCAAGTTTACATAAAACTAGCCAGCACAGTATATATGACATATCTGTAGTGTGTATATGTTTGGTATGTGTGTTTTGTGTAGGTATAGCCTGTATGTGGTGTGTGTATATGATGCATGTAATATATGGTGTATGTGGTGTGGGTGTATGGTGTATATGGTGTGTATATGTGTGTGTGTGCTGTGTGTGGTATCTTTATGTACATTGTATGTAGAATGTATGCATATGCAATCATGGACTACACAGTGAAGTTTCGGCCAGCAGTAGATTGCATGTACTACACTGAGCCCACAAGATTGTAGTGAAAAAAATTCCTCGTTACCTAGCAACATCATAGCCATTGTTTTGTCACAGCACAAGGCGTTAGTCACAGCATTGTGGCAGTGCCTTTGCTTTGGTGCCAGTGTGGTGCCCCAATCAGAGCCCGGGTCACACTGCATTGTAACTGGGAATGGGTCGCCACAGTAGCACCAAAGCAAAGACACCGTCAGGGCTCATGGCTCCTGCTCCGTTGCGCTGTCGGTAGCCACCGAGGTTCATATGGAACACACCCTTTCTGGGAGAACTCCGAGTACTGGTGGGTCCCGGGATGGACTAGTCTTCGTGGAGAACCAGTAGACTGGTCCTGCAGAGAAGACCCAAAAATAAGGCTGGAACAGCACCGGGTAGCTAAGCAAGAGGTCGTAACACACGTAAAGAAAAGTCATGCATCCTGCTGTCCAGCTCAGCGGATTTTCACAAACTGAACACCCAGACCAAATAGGACATTCAGCCAGTATCTTTAGTGTCCCCTCCCATTTGAGTTCTGTAGCCACAGCTTAGTTTTTCTGTCCTAAAACATTATGTAAATCACACCCTATAGCCCATACTCTTGTGTCCGTATCCCTTTTCCCACCTTGCTTGTGGGGTTGGTTTGTACAGCCGCGTGTTGTTTTCATTTGTTTATTCTCACTGTTGTGTAATACTGTGAATGTAGTGGCTGTTCTGTGTGGTCAGCTCTCGGCAGATATGTGGGTGGCTCCCAGCTCAGCACCATTGTAAAGACGCTGCTGCATTCTTGTGTGGCCATGGCTAGGGACATCTGTACACATTTCTGTTGTAAACATCGGTTTAAACCTAGGGATGAGCCCAGTGTCTCAGACTTCCATGATGATGAGCCCCTGGGCAAAGGTTGAGGGGACCGATGGAGGGCACCAGAATAAACTTGGAGGTTAGAGGGTCTGTGGGGCTTCTTGGGAGGCAAAGCTTAAATGTTTAAAAAAAGTCCACTCCTGCGTGAATACTCAACTGGCCTGATTTTTTGGATCCCATGGCCAGGGAGAAACCGTTGTCATCAGGCAGACAGTGGTGATGAAGGCTCATATAGTCATACAGAGTCCCTGCTGGATATGGAGGCATTGAGATAGGACCACGGGCTTCTGCAGCAGAGATGCAAGCATGTCGGGTCCTGACTGCACACCTCTGAAACTCCATCCCAGCGAGGGCTTGTGTGTGGGAGGAAGTCTGCTGTGGTCCCCCGGGCCTCCTGATGCTCCTGCTGGGTCTCTCACTCAGGTGGCTCACTTCAGCCTTCACCGTGTGGTCTGGCCAGCCTGAGGTGTCAAAGAGGTCCCTGTCGCCTGCTCAGACTTGGACCTACAGTGAGCCTCTACCCAGCTGTTTTCAGTGCCCTGGCACCGAAAGTAATGCCGGCCCCTCATCTTGTCTCTTTCAGAATGGCAACAAAGACAGCTCTCTAGACGTGCTGGGCACAGATATCTGGGCCGCCAACACCTTTGACTCCTTCAGGTAACTTCCTCCTTTCTCTGTGGTGTCCAGTGTTAGCCACATCAGGGTCTATGGGGCAGTTTCAGGAGGGAAACAGAGATGAGGCTGTAGGGGACGAGGGCCACCAGCAGAGGCTGGAGGAGGAAAAAAAAAAGGAGAGCATCTAAGAAAGGAGGCAAAGGGCAAAAGGAAGACATAAAGACTAAGGGAGGGAGGGAGCAAGGGAGCAACTGGAGAGGACGGAGCATGGGAGGAAGGAGGGGCTCATGGCTCTTATGGGAGGATGAGTGTAGACCCCACCCTTCCCACATGCCGATCTACAGAAAAGGGGACACGTGAGGTTTGCGCCTCAGCAACACGCACAGAAGGTGGACCGACTGCTTCAGGCTTTAGAAGGTTCCTGGTGGTGCTTGGCATTAGCCAGGACTCCTCAGGACGAGAGGCATACCCCAGTTGTGGTACTTATCACTGTTATTGGATGTTGCCTTGGGCCCTGTCCCCTTGAGCTGTCCAACTCTGGGCACACTGCAGGTATTCCTGGTCTGGGTACAGACCCTTCCTCATGGTGGGGCTCTTGGGGTGGGAACTGGGGAGCTGGCCCCCTGTCTCCTCATCTCTGCTCACCCTATCCAGAGCATCATTTTGTGTTCTGGTGACAGGTTTTTTTTTGTTTTTTTGGGTTTTTTGTTTGTTTGTTTTGTTTTGTTTTGTTTTGTCCTGCTTCTCTTTCCAGCCCTTCTTAAATGTAGGCATGAAACAAACTGGGTTGTTGTGGGAATCCCTGCAGAGCAACCAACCCACATTTATGTTTAGGGAGCATAAGTTGAAGAGAGGAGAAGGTCTGATACCTTCAACTCATTCCAAATGGGTCTGAACAGGCTCCTTCCCTCCTCTCCCCACCCACCGAGCCTCCTGCCTTACATTTGTTGCCCTCCCTCGCCCTCTAGTGGTGCCACCTGGGACCTGCAGCCTGAGAAGCTGGACTTCACCCAGTTCCATCGGAAGGTGCGCCACACTCCCAAGCAGTCCCTGCCACACATCGACAGAGATGGGTAAGGACACTGTGGAAGGGCTCTCACTGGGAGAGGCGTGAGGTGTAGAGGGGCAGGGCTTTGTGAAATAAAGTGAAGCTGTGCCCAGCCCTGGACTGCGTGTTCACTGGCTTTTCTAGAGAATTCCTCCATCCTCCCCACCAGCCCGTACGCCAGCTCCTGTGAAACACTGAGTATCTCTTATCAAGCAGTTGATGTGTCTCCAACTGGAGCATCTGGAAGACTTACATAAACACCAGAAAAGGACCCACCCAGAGTTTCACACTCAGTAGGCCTGGGATTCCTTCCCTTCCGGTCATGTTCAGCCTGTGATCAGTGGGCAGCCTGAAGCTGCATGCTGACAGGCCAAGGATGGCTCTGAATGGAGGCTCTAGTCAAAACTGTAAACCTCCTTAAAACAATATGAGGTGTGCTGTGTTTTTCCTGCACATTGATGTCAAGGCTCTCAGGCTTCCACTGTATGGATGACTCTGCCATGCTGCGCTGTGAAATAGTTAGACACATCCAGTAGGGTGGAGATTTGCACTTCCCAGTCTTCCAGGGAGATGCTGACGCTGCCTGCCAGTGCAGGAGCCCAGTTTTGGGAACTGGTCTCTAGGTAGATTTCCAGCATGGCGGAGGTACGTTCACTGCGAGCTCTGGAAGCCATGCTCACTGTCTCAACTCTGGAAAGCAGCGAGTCCAAGCCACCACCAAGCAGCTTGTAGCATGCTGCCCATAAACCTTTTTTGTTTTATGTGTAAAAGCTAAATCTGTATGCAGCATGCCGCGTGGCTTGGAGACTCCTCTGTGTACCAAGGTGGGAATCCGCCCTGCTGTTCTCAAGCCTGAATGTCACGGCATCTCTGCTAAGCTACACCTGGATCCTCTGCATCTCTTGCCTTTCTCTGTCTGTTTCTAAGTTTGTGAGAGCCAGGCCTAAAGCTCAGGGCCTGGTCGGAGGTTCATGACTGAGAACTGTATTAACCTTCGTAGAGCTCTAGATTGCCAATGTCTGTATTGTGGCTGATATTTTTACTTAGGTTTTTGTTTTGTTTTGTTTTGTTTTTATTTAATATACTGACTGACCTCTCAAGGGCTCACCAGCAGGCAGAAACTCTTAAAGGAGCTTTAATATTGTTTTCTAGCTTTCTTAAGTGCTGTATAGAAATCTGTGCCCCACATTGGGTGCCAAATGCAGCTGGAGATGTTTCTCTGTACTGCTGGGTCCCACTGGACTGGTTTCTCTCCCACTGCTGGTTCCCGCAGCTGTTTCTAAATAATCACTTAATATTAATTACAAACTGTTTGGCTAATGGCTCAGACTACTTCTGGCTACCTCTTACATATAAATAAACCCATTTCTAACAATCCGTATATTGCCACGTGGCTCCATGGTGTTACTTATTCTCTAGTACATCTTGCTACTCAGGTGGCTGCTGGCATCTCCCCAACTACGCCTTCTTTCTCGCTGTCTCTCTGCTTGGATTTTCTACCTAGCTATAATCTGCCCTGCCATAGGCCAAAGCAGCTTTTTCATTAACCAATGGTAATAAAATACATTCACAACATACAGAGGTGCATCCCACATCAATCCTGGCCTGTCTCACCCTTGTTGGCTCCAGGAACAAGTATTGCGTCGCTTTCAAAAGGTGATCTCAAGCCTGGGATGCCCTCAGGACACTTGTGTGGTACCAGCCAAACACAGGTGTAAGAAATAGCCATTGCTTCTTTTCAGTTTTTTTAAAGTAATTTTTATAGAGACAAGATTCATGTAGGATAAAAAGAAATCAACCACTTTAAACTATGTGATTCAGTGGCTTTGAGCATGTTTACAATATTCTACAGTCACTGCTTCTGCTTTCTTATTGCCATGGGATACTGTGATCCCTAGTCACACCTTCCTGTCCAGCCCCACCCCCAAACCCTGACAACCACCTATCTGCTTTCTGTTTCTATGAATTTGTTTTTTCTGGGTGTGTAGAAATGGAATCATTTGTTCCTTTTCTGTCCATTGTTTTCATTCATCCGATGTCTTTCATTGTTTTCAAGGTTTGTTCGCAAGCATCAACAGTCCATTCTTTTTTTAATATTTATTTATTATATATACAATATTTTGTCTACATGTATTCCTGCAGGCCAGAAGAGAGCACCACACCTCATTACAGATGGTTTGCGAGCCACCATGTGGTTGCTGGGAATTGAACTCAGGACCTTTGGAAGAGCAGGCAATGCTCTTAACTGCTGAGCCATCTCTCCAGCCTCTCCGGTCCATTCCTTTTTGTAGCTGAATAATGGTCCATGGCACCAGCTATTCCACTATTTGTTTACCCCTTCATCCATTGATGAATATTTGGGTTCTTTCCTTTGGGCTTCTATGAAAAGTACTTCTTGGGACATTCCATTCATGTGCATGTATTTGTTTAAGCCTCTGCTCGTGGGATTTCTCAGTCATGGGAACTGTGTGTAACTTTTTCAGAACTATAAAGTGTTCCCAAAGATGCTGAATATTTTATATTTTCACTAGCAGCACAGAAGAGTTCTGATTTTTTTTCCATCCTCAACCTCACTTGTTTCCCACTTTGGGGGTCATTTTTATTGTTATGATTTTCTTTGCTTTTCGTCCAATTCTTGCTGCTCACTCGTGTCTCCCTGTTACCCTGCCCTAAAATAACTGATGTCATGGGATGTCTTACTGCGTTGCCATGCGTCCTCCATCAGCCCTCTGTCCCTTCCCATCCATAGAGGCCATTCCTCTTAGTGGCACAGGCCTCCCTATTCGGTACTGAGCAGGAACCTGGGAGAGGTGGCGGCCTCAACCCATTTTAGAAGCAAGAGAAGTGGGGTTCAGAAAGGGTTAAATAAAGTACCCACGAAATGAGGTGAAAATGGGGCACGCTGGAGCACCTCAGGAGTACTTCAGAGATATTTCCTGGATAGCCCCGGTCTCTCCCCCTCCGGTGTCCCCTGGGAGCATGTCTTGTGACACCGGTGGGCCAACTGAGCCTCGGGAAATCCAGGTGATAGTAACACCTTCGCCTGTGAGTGAGGAATGCGTGCGTCAGCCTCCCTCAGTGCGATGAGCAACCTTATCACATACGGGTTACTTGGAGACAGTGACTAATGGCTGTGCAGGGGAGACTCTTCTGTGCCTAGCATCACTGTTCTGTCTAAATCCAGAGGACCGGCTACCCCCGTTCAGCAGCTGTGAGTCTCTAGACCTCCTTCTCTAGGCTCGCCCACCCAGTTGAGCATAGGCTGGCTCAACTTTCTAGGGGTGGGCACCCGGCCCTGGACCCATCCTGCTGCTCCAGATTTATAGGCAGTGCCCTGTGTCTGCCTTGTGACTAGGAGAGGAGCCCTGTCCCCCTTAGCCTTGCCATGTGAAGAATGGGCTCCACGTGTCCAGCCACTGCAGCCTCCCTCAGAAACAGGTTGCCAAGACTTCCCACAGCCTGTGTTTCCATAGAGGGACAGACCTGGAGCGGGCTGTTGCCTTGGAAACCCCACTGGCAGCAGTGACTCAGCTGGTCTACAGCCACCATCTGCCTGCCACACCTGCAGGTTTGTAGGAAGTTTTACCCTGACCAGGCAGGCCAGGGGTCAGAGGTAGCCCCTGTACCCTGCCCACTGCTGACCTCAGACCACTAAGGTGAAAAGAAAAGGCCAGGCCCGTATTTATTCAATGCAGCTGCCATGGACTTCAAACCCAACTCCAGCTGGAAAGGTCAGTTGCCAGGCCTGTTTTACCCACATGAGACCTTGTGTGTCATGTGTGTAGGGTGTTCCACTGGGGCCAGTTCCCCAGCACCTTCTTCAATATCTATGGCCTGTTCGTGGCACAGAGTGGGTGCTTTCACCGGCTAATGGCACACAGTGGGTGCTTTCACAGGGCCAGCCCATCACCATCAAGCAGATAAGTCCAAAGACGGCAGCATGATCCAGGCCTTTCTCTGCCTCCCCACGGTGGGTGGCCCAGCACTGCATACTGGGTGTGGTAGCAGGGCCTGAGCTTTCTTTTCTCACCTTAGACCGGTCACCTCCTCATGCCCCGCTGCTCCAGCTCCCCCTGTCTAAGCCTAGACTAGCCCAGGCACTCCGCCAGCACCCTCTCCCCCTCAACACAGACATCACTCTCCAGCCCGAAGCTTAGCTTTGAGCATAACTGGTTTGAACTCCTGGCTCTCCTGCACCTCCCTCCCACTGCCCTGGGACTTTCTTCTCCGTTCCCTCAGACTGTCCTTCCTACCCTCTGCCCATCGACTCTATACCTCGCCCCTCTGCATTTCTGCAGTGCTGCCTTTGGCCACAGTTCCATGGGGCTATCTCCTACCAGTTCCCAGCTTGTTGAACTTAGGTGCCAGGCTAGACTCCCAGCCTGGCATAGACATGCCTGATAAAGACAAGAAGAGACCTAGTTCTGATCCCTGATTTCTCCCACGCAAGCCTCTGCTAGTTTGCCCTGCCATATTTTTTTTTTTCTGCCTGGCACCCAGTACTTTTCTGACAGCTTTTGGGACACTTGTCTCATGCTGCCCCCTAGTGGAGCTCAGGCTCACAGCCCTAGGAGGTGAGCTTCCAATTTACTCTTACCAAGAGCTCTAAGGTCAGAACATCTGGATTATTTCCCTTGACAGGAATCCAGAAGCGATGGTAGACAGATATTTAAACAAATGAGAAAATGCCCCTGGAATTTGAGTTGCATTAACTCTGAAGCTGGAGGTGTTATCCCCTGGGAGACTCGGAAATGAGAAACTTGCCTGAGGCTGGGCCAGCCTCTGAATCTAGGCTCTGAATTGTTCCCCTTCCTACCTGCTCCTCTGCGCCTTAACAGCAGGACGTGACTGTGGCAATGTGGATACACTTACCATGTGCCTTATGTTGTTATCATTTTAATCTACTAATCAGGCTATGATGTTAGGCTCTGTTATGATCCACCTCCATTTTCCAAATAAAGGAACAGAGGTGTAAGAAAGTTCAGTGATTTATAAGGAGTTCCTCAGGAAGGGATGCAGCTGGAGTCTAAACTCTCACAGTCTTACCATAGCAGATAGGTCTTTATCTGTGCAAGAAGTTAGAGCTTTGGGCAGCGCATGGGTCCAGCATCTCCAGCCTGCAGACACTCCTATCCACAGAGACCCTGAACACAGAGGACACAATGTAGCCAAGTAACTGGCTTTACAGGCCTGAGACAAAGGGAAAGAAGCTATGCAAACCTCTGCCTCCCTGTGTGACCTTCAGATAGTTGCTTGGTCTCTCAGGTTCACTGATTTTACCTTTGGTGCGATAGGCCCAAAGAGCTGGCATTTTCAGGGATTATGCATCTGTGAGGGTATTCATTAGTCAGGAGCTTAGCTGCTGTGCCTAGAAGCGGGGGTGGGGGCGTGGAGAGGCGAGGGGGGGACACGGGACACACGGACACACACAGTGTCAGTGGATTCATCTCTCATCACTCTTCATTTGCATGCTGCACGAGGGCTAGAGGAATCCACCTCTGGGGCCCTTTCCTTAGGAGGGAATCCTGAGAGATAGCAGAGTCACACCTCCTGCAGCCAGGCAAGGATGCGGACATGGATAAACTGGCCCTCCAATGCCTTTCTGTCTTTTGTGGTCTAGGTGTGGAAAAGGGAAGCTGGAAGATGGGGATGGCATCAACCTCAATGACATCGAGAAGGTCCTCCCAACCTGGCAGGTAGGTCCTCAGCCTGCTCTCTGCCTGGGCACTCCTGCCTGTCCCTTGCTCCAGCCAGTGGTGTACTGCATGGGTAATGGGAGCAGGTGTGTAGCTTGGGGGCTCACCTTCGACCAGGTGTCCCATGGACAGTGTTTGTGGCAGCCCCTTGGTGACACACAAGGACACAGGCCTCTGTCTCTTGAGTGGAGAGGACTCCAGGCTTGGAAGTTTGTTCCTTGACCTGACCACACAGTGGGTGAGTGTTCTGCAGCACGCTCATGTGGACAGCGGCTCTACGGTGTCTAATGCGGCTTTTGAACAACAAAGGTGTCCTGCCAGCCCCGGGTGCCTGCTGCACTTGCTCACTTTGCTCTTAGTTTGGTTCCTTTACCCGAGTGGGAGCTCCAAGCTCCACAACAGAGTGGACCCCGCTCAGCAGAACTGAGTGAACTCAGTTCTAGAGGCGCCGAGAATTTGAGACTTCAGAGGAAATGGCAGGGACCTGGCTGTCCCGGAGATGGGCATACTCCTCTGCCGTATCACCTGCTCGTCTCATCCCCGAATCTCTTCAGATGCTGACCTTCACTCAATACGCTTTCTTGTCTCTGTCCTATTTTTTGTCCTCTCTGTGTCTCGAGCCTGCCACTGAGAGAGGCAGGTGACAGCCCCATACATGGGCTGGCAAAGTTTCCCCCTTTCTCTCTCGGGGTTTTCTGAGCCTCTTAAAGATCTGGAGTTTGTGTTTTTGTCATATCTGGAAGTGTGTGTGTGTGTGTGTGAACACAGGAGTAGGCAAAACCCTTCTTGCTATCTACTATCCCTCAGTTGATGTCTACTTTATTCTTTGAGACTGTCCCAGTCCACTTTCTATTGCTGGGATAAATATCATGATCAAAAGCAGCTTGGGAAAGAAAGGGTTAATTCAGCTTACTGTGTACCGTCCATTATGAAGGACATTGGAGCAGGAACCTAAAGGAATGAGCTGAAGCAGAGGCCATGGAGGGGTGCTGCTCACTGGCTTGTTCCCATGACTTGCCCAGCCTGCTTTCTTATAAAACCCAGGACCACCAGCCCAGGGATGGCCCCACCCACCATGGGCTGCCTGTCCCCGTCAATCATCAGTCCAGAAAAATGCTCCCTGACCACAGGACCGTCTGATGGAGGAAATTCCTTAATTGAGTTTCTTTTTCCCAGATGACCTGAACTTTTGTCAAATAGATTTAAACAAAACAAAACAAAACAAAAAAAAAACCTACCCAGCACATAGACCAGCCTGGAGCTTGACAATGTGGTTAAACGGGCTGACCAGCAAGCCCCTGAGTCCTCCACCTCTTCCTCCTCAACACTGGTACTTACAGGCACGCAGCACCACAGCCAGCTTTAACGTAGATCCTGGTCCCCATGCTTGTCCAACAAGCACTTTACTACCTGGCCACCTCCCCAGCCCCCATATTGGGAGCTTTCCTCATCCCCCACCATACTTCCAACTGTCTGTAGGCCCCACTTCTCATTCCCTGTGGCTTGCCAAAAATCTGCTATTTTTAAAGGTCTTTTTCCCCCTCTTTCTTTATTTGGGTTAACTTCTGCTGTTTTATCTTCAAGCTCACCATCTTTTCCTGCAGTGTCTAAGTGACTGTTCATCCCCTCTGGTGTGTTTCATTTTTTAGAAGTTCCCATGGATCTGTCTCTTCTGCCTTCTGTTTCTCATGTGTTTTAGCATGAGGCTTAACTCCAGCAGATGCTTGCTGTCCTTCCCCACTAATCCTGTTGCTAGAACCTTTACCGTCTCTTTCTTTCTCTCTTTCTTTCTCTCTCTCTCTTTCTCTCTTTCTTTCTTTCTTTCTTTCTTTCTTTCTTTCTTTCTTTCTTTCTTTCTTTCTTTCTTTCTTTCTTTCTTTCTTAAGACAGGGTTTCTCTGCAGCTTTGTAGTCTGTCCTGGAACTAGCTCTTGTAGACCAGGCTGGTCTTAAACCCACAGAGATTCACCTGCCTCTGTCTCCCAAGTGCTGACATTAAAGGCGTGTGCTGCCACCCAGCCTACCATCTGTTTCTATTGTTTGTTTTAGTAGGATCTCTCTGTTGTAGGCCTTAAACTCACAGTGACCCTTCTGCCTTCGCTTTCTGAATCCTAGATTGCAGGTGTGTGCTGCCACACTTAATTCATAGGTCATAGTCCACAACACATCAGAGTCAAGGCAAGTAAGGAGTGGGCTTGTGAAGTGGCACAATGGGTGAGCAAACTTGCTGCACAAGCCGGATGGCCTGAGTTCAGTCCCTGGAACCCACACAAAGGTGAAAGGAGAGAAACTCTACAATGTAGTCCTCTTACCTGCAGACCGGGCTGTTGCCAGTGCACCCACACGCAACATCATGCACAGAGAGAGAGATTCTTAGAAGACAACTATATGAAAAGCAAGAACGGGAGAGGATGTTGGAGTCAGCCTTTTGCTGCCTCATCTCAGGACGGCATTGCTCTTCCATACGCCATGTGCTGATGGCACAGACCGACCCTGATGCATCATGGGAAGGCCTGCCCAGCTGCAGGATTGTACAGAGAAATCCACAGTTGTGCAATACTGCAGGGAATTCCCATGTGCGGCAGTAGTCAGAAACCTCCGATCCCAGCTGACTCTGCCCGTGGCTTACCCGCTGCACGGAGGCTTTGCATCTCCCGAGATTGGTGCTGCCACAGCTCTCTAGCATGAGAATTCCAGGTCCCAGAGAGGTGGATGTTCAGGGGATGACAGTTCTAAGAGCTCTTAAACATCCCTCAGAGCTCCCAACAGCTGGAGGTGCCTACTTCAGTTGTCCCTTGGGGCTCCTGGGTGTTGATGTGTATACGACTTGACAGTATAGGAGTCACATAATGCAGTGCAGGGTGTTCCTCGCTTCAGCCACTGAGTGCCAGTGACTGGAGAGGGTATATCATCATTCTCACTTCCAAATTTACCAAGAAGGCACCACGTGTCCAAGTAAAGAGCGTAAAGACCATTGCCTAAGAAGGAAAACTCTTCCTAGTTTAGGGTCCCTGGGGCACATGTTGACCAAGGTTTCTGTCCCCCCTGATCATTCAGTCCCAAAGAAACACACGGAGGTCACATTAATTATAAACTGGTTGGCCTATTGGCTCAGGCTTCTTATTAACTCTTAAATCTTACATCTTAACCCATAATTCTTGTCTGTGTTAGCCACGTGGCTTGGTACCTTTTATCAGTGAAGCATTTTCATCTTGCTTCATCTGTGTCTGGGTGACAACTGCAGACTGACTCTTTCTTCTTCCCAGAATTCTTCTGTTCTCATCGCCCTGCCTCTACTTCCTGCCTGGTTGCCCCACCTATACTTCCTGATTGGCCAGTAGCCAATTTTATTAAAGTACAAGTGGCAGGATAAAAGACCATTGTCCCACAGCAGCATGTGCAGAGATAAGTGAAACTCACTAGCTCCCTTCCCTCCCATCTGGAGCCAAGAGCTGGATAAAGGGGGTCAACCAGCCCTCTACTCTCGCCTCAAGACAAGAGGGACACCAAGGTCCCTCTAACTCTGTCCCCAACAGCCCCTCTTCCCACAGAAGCCCATGCTACTATCTCCAGTTTCTTGATCCAGCTCACCCACCCAGGCTCTGTCCTGGGCTCAATCTACCCTACCTGCAATACAGCTGGATCCTGTCCCCATCTGCCCTGACCCTTCGTTCCTCTCTTTTCCCTCTGCCTCACATCCAGCTCATGCTTGTCCTAGGAAGGTCACCTCCCCTATGGCACCCTCTCAGATATACAGGGCAAGTCCATCCTCCCAGCCCCCGCCCCCACCTCCTTTCACCCCCTGCATAATGGTTCCTGTCCCAGCATTCCTGTTCATTTACGTGTCAAGACTCCCTCCCTAGACTAGGACCCTGGAGGGCTGTACCCATATGTCCTTCACAACTCCAGGCCATAGATGCACCTTCGTAATACTACCCCAGTCCTCCTTGAGAGGACACTTTTGAAGAATGGCTTTCCAGAGGTGACTGTGGCCATCTGGAGGATAGAAGTCGTGGGGGTTCAGTTGTTCTGACATTGAGGCCGTTCCCTTCACCCCCACAACCCCACCCTGCCCCCAGCTAGAGTGTCCCCCGTCACTTCCTGCTGATGCTTTAGTGCCAGCCTAGCTATGCTCTTTGGGGTGTTATTTCTGGGGTATGGCTGGAAGGTTTTCCCATCACCTCCTGTGTTACGATTTTATAGGCCACAAGACAGTATTAAACTCTCAAATCTTAGTGACTTCACACACTAGAGTTGGAGAAGCCAAATGTCCCCAACTTGCTCCTTGGGGATTCGAGGGTCCAGTTGGATTCTGTTTGTGGTCCTGCCACCCCATGGCATCTAGGTAGCCCTAACAGAAATAAAGAGTAGGGGGTTCATGCCCTGGGTCTTAAGTGTTTGGTCCCAGCAGTAAGACTTCCACTCACATCCCACTGGATGGAGTTGGCATGGCTACTCAGCTGTAGCGTAGCAGGAGGAGAGGGAGCAGGCAGGTGCTCAGTGGGCAGCAGATGCCCTTGCCAACCTTCCTCTTTCATTCCTTCGCCGAACTAACCCTTTCTTCCTCCTCCACGCAACCAACGTTCACAGGCAGATACTTTGCTCCAGCCATTTAGAGAGAATGGCATGTGTTCCTCAGGAAGGGCATGGTCCCTTCAAGGAAATGACAGGCTGAGTGCCGCATCATTAGAGCTGTAGATGCCACACAGATGCTGGCGCTGTGCCCAGGTCAGAGTCCCTTGGGGCAAAGTCTGTGTCCTCTCCCTACAGGCGCCACCTTCCTCCCGGTGTTGCTGCAATTTCCAAAGCCTTGGGGCTCCAAATGAGCAGGGGTCCCCAGTGGCTCCAGGCTTAATGCTTGTGGTAGTTCTCCTGGGAGCACTGGGGGTGGGGTGGGGTGCCTCAGTTGGATATCAGCTCCCTGGTCCCTGACTTAGTTCCCACAGCCAAAGCCCAGGACCCTACACTTGGCAATTCTACCTGCGTCTATTTTCACAGTGA